ACTCAAATACCTGTACTTTCTACTTAGTCAGCGCCAGAGGTGGGAAGTAGTGGAGTACAAATACTTCGTTACTGTGCTTGAGTACATGTTTCTGGTATCAGTACTTTACTCCACTACTTATTTTTCTGACCACTTTTTACTTTGACTTCTTACATTTTGAACACAAATACCTGTACTTTCTACTTCTTACATGTTGAACTCAAATACCTGTACTTTCTACTTCTCACATTTTCCAAACAGGCTGGTTCCTTTAGTTTGAATGTGTGATTGGTCCATCTTCTCTAAAGGAGAGGGACCAATGAAAACGTTGTCATGTTGCCGTTGTTCAGCATGGAAACATTCATTAGCTAACAATGACATTATTGTTCTATTAATATAAAGGGAGGTCAGGTACTCTTTAAAACAGCTGCTAGTTATGGGTACTTTTTACTGAAGTACATTTCAAAGCCCTCTTTACTTTGACTTGAGTAAAGAAGTATAGTCAGTAATTCTACTTTCACCAGAGTATTTTAAACACGAGTATCTTTACTTCTACTTGAGTAAAGGATGTGTGTACTCTTTCCCTCTCAGGTCATCTCAGGTCAGGTGTGGAGGCTCCCAGGTAGGTGCTGAGGTCAGAGACGTTGGATTTGATGAGTTTTGCGGGGATGGTGTCCAGCTTCAGCCTCTGATAGGCAGCAAAACGGTGACAGCCTCCGAACGAGTAAAAGTAGTCCCCCCCCTCCCTGCCTCTGATCCACAGCACGTCGATGGGAGGAACAACGCTGAGGTCTGCCGTCTGCTGGAGGACAGAGAGAGGTCTGTCACATTACAACATATATAAACGATACACAGAACTGACACAGTACAAAGGCTACGGTATGAATGAGAGGCTGAACATTACACACAAGTAAGAACAAAGGCAGAGATGAAGGTAGCATTTTAATACCACAATCGGAAAGTACACGATTTTGCAAGTCTAAATAAGAACAAATGATGAGCTAATTGCACTTTAAAGAGTCCCTGTAGTTCTATAGGTGTTGTGTGTAAATGGTCTGCAACGGCTAAAATCCCTGTGTTCCTCCAGGGGGAGCTTCTCTCCAACATATATTAAAACAATTATTATAATGATCATGCTGGTAGAGGTGGAACAACTGTGGAGGCACCTTAAATAATGATTAGGTAGATGAATTGGACCTAACTCAATAACTACAACTTCAAAATCTAATGCTGTGTATGTAATGTGCAGAGTGTAGCAATACTCTGTTACAAGTACCAGATCTGAGTACTTCATATTTTACTCAAGTACCAGATCTGAGTACTTTAGGCTACTTGTACTCAAGTACCAGATCTGAGTACTTTAGGCTACTTGTAGTAAGTACAATATCTGAGTACTTCTACTTCTACTAAGTACCAGATCTGAGTACTTCCTCCACCTGTATATTTAATATAAAGGTGTTTACCTGTAGGGTCTCCACCAGACTCTGGACCTTCTGCTCGTCCAGCTGCGGAGGGATGGGTCGGATGATGACGCGCATCGGGATGTTGTGTACCTCCGAGACACTGTCCGAGTGAATAGACCGGTTGCTGTTACCGTCACTCCCACCGGACGGTACCGACATGTTTCTACGAGATAAAACCGACAGTTTAACCCGGGTAGTTTTAGTGCCGCAGAGCCACAACCGAATCATTTACCTGCCGACAGTTAAAGAGCTCAGTTACTTCCTGGATAAGAGTTTGTTTACTTCGTGCGTAGCATGAACAGAAGGTTTTGATTGGTCCTCCGCGCTGTCAATCCGAAATCGTCTGGTAAAAGAAAAGGCACATGATGAGCGTACGTGATAGGCTAAGAGGCGGGACATCTCTAAGTGGCTGACCAATCCCAACAGAGCCGGCCAGTAACTTGTTCCCAGATTTTCACTTTTTTCAAATAATTTCCTTTTTTTCTTCAACATTTCTCTTTTTTTCTCCAAAGTTCACTTTTGTCTCATTTTTTACTTTTTTCTCTGGACTTCACTTTTTCATACGTTTGCATGGACACACGTCATAGTATAGTAGAGGCACATACTAATATGGAGCCAAACGTGAGCATTTGATTGTAGGTTTGAAACCCCACCATAGTTGTTTCAGAGTGTCCTCCGTCTAAAGAAAGTCAGTTATTGTTGTCATGGGTTTTCTCTGAGAAAAAACAGGGGAAAAAGAGACTTTTGAACCTTTCCTGACAAATGTTATTAGCTGCCTTATGCTGTATAGTAAGAACACGAGAATGGCCAACAATATTTGGTTATAATCAGTTTTTCTAAGTGAACTTATTTAGTTGAACATGTGTTACTAGGTTGTAAAAGATTCACTACAGAAAGAGAAATACTGAAGAATAGGTTGATAACAAGAGGAAGGGAGTATTAAAGGATTGTTAGACATTGGGGGAAAAACTGCTTCAGGTTCAAAGGGGTTTATTTAAATATTACACATTAATTTCTAGAATATAGCATCGTCTTGAAGTTACGGTAGGTGGCGGTAAGCACCTTTTAAACGTTGGTTTGTACATCACCATTAAAATAAAAGAAGAAGAAAAGCTAATTTAGCGGCTAGCATGATTTTTTTATTTTGGCTAAATGTTTTTGTTAGCAAACATTTTCCTTCCTAACCTGCGTCGGACAGTGACGGAGCAACTTTATAATTCACTTTGGAGTCCAGCTGATGAATGTAAGTCTGATATTTAATCAGTGTTTAGCCTGCTTTTGCTCACAACAAACACCTGCTGTAGCTCGTTAGCTGCTATGCTAGCTAGCAAGATGCTAATGGTAGCCTAGCTTAAGTTCCATTTCTGTGCAATATTATTTTAGTACACTTTATGTGTTTTAGGTCACATTTTTTATATTTAATACATGTTTTCCTTACTTTTAAAATGTGCATTTATGATGGAATAATTATTTAACAACAACTATTAATGAACTTTAGCCCAGGTTAAAATATTTCCTTGATTTTAATCTTTTTAATTTGTATTTAAGTGGAATAAGGCTTTTTAAACAGCTATATAAATTCAATAAAAGCAATGTTTATTATCATCTTATCCATCTAATTTTATATTGTCATCTGTTGTGTGAACTATTACATTAAATCGCACTGTTATGCAAACTCTCACCTTAAGTTCACCCCACAGGCTCCACTGCTGTTTTAGTAAAAAAAAAAAAAAGATATAGTAATTGCAAGATTAACTATTTGTTCCTCAACATTTGGGTTGTTTTTGTTTTTATATAGAAAGGCATTGACTGGTAACTGTTCCCTTTGCCACAATCTGAGCAGGGCACATTTGACAAAGGTATTAAAATAGAGTAAATTAACATTCATACACTTAATAATAATACCTCTGGTGACCGCTCATAGGCAGTTTCCATCATAGACTTATTTTGGATTTTAAAAGAGGATAATGCTGTATTAAAATACCTTCAACAACAATACAGAGCAGCTAGAGCCTCTGAGACCCAGATATTAGAAAGGAGCTGCAGCTTTCTGAAGCTTTCATAAAAATAATGCTTATTATTATCAATTTGAGTAGAATCAAGCTTAAAAAACAGTGTTAGAGGTGGGGTAGGTCATTTTGGAGAAACCAGCTCGAATGCGCTAGAATTTGAAAATACACAACCGGAAAAAATCGGCCACTTCCTTACAGAGCCCCTCCCCCAACACGCACGAACGCGCACATGACCAATGAGGGCACGGGATAATTTTGTGCACAGATGGAAGGCTGACAGGCAGGTAGGCCATCCAGTTACTTTAGCCGGGCCGACTCAGATGATTGGTCGTGCTTTTTACTGCGCTACGGCTTTCATGTATTCATTGCTATCGGGATGTTAAGAGCATTCCATGGAATATAACACAAAGTGTATCTGAAGTGAATTACCTACCCCACCTTTACAGTAAGTGTTATTTTGAACTGTCAAACAGAACATATTAAGGTCCGTGTTAAAGGCAGCTGTTGTAGTATTTCACGGCATGGACATGTAAACACAAACTTTACCCCCTTTTTTTTGGTACGATATCTCTTTCACTTCATGACCGAACTGTTCCTCATTAAAAACCACTCCAGCAATTAGTCACGGAGCTGAAGAGAGTCGCTTTCAGCCCAGAATCCTGGCCACTTTTGTTTTTAATGAGGTCAGTGTTTTGTATTGTCGACTGTTGCATGATATAGGCTTTCTCTCATCAAAGCGCTCCACTTGGTGATTTTCTATTTCTGCAGAGATTTCAAAGAGCCAGACAGGTTGCTGTGGATCCAGAAGAAGGACGTCTGGGCCCGAAGCTTTGCACAGGTAAGTGGAAATCTTCAAAGGTGTGCAGAAACAGAACTATTGTTGTTTTCTCCAAACCCTGCGCTCCAGCATCTTCTAATGAGACAATTAAAAATGATTTCTTGGACAGCACAGGCAGGCCATTACACTGAAATATTACAAATACTTTGAACTACAATGGCGCTGGCCTTTTATGTTGATTAATTGGTCACAGGGGGATCAGTTACAGCATGAAGGAGGTCTATACATAGTGTGTAATCATTCACAGTGGTAGCAGTGCATTATACATCATTATATGTGACTAAAACGGGACACATCGCACTCTGTAATGTTGGTGCTGCAGTGGATTCAAATCACGTTTTCTTACCTCATTTTCAAGTGGTAGTTTTGCAGTGCTCTGTTTACAATTCCCCTCTAATTAGCATACACCTCCTATTTCTACTGTTTTCGTCTTTAATGCACAATATGTCATTTTTCTGACACTAAGGGTTTCTCAATGAATAATAACGAAGATGCAGTACATGGTAGTGTTCATGGTTTGGAGGTTTTTAGCCTCTCTTCTGATAGGAAGCTGTTAAGTTGCAGTTTGAGGTTATAAATCAGAGTTTCTTCCTGCACGCTGTGGATGCTGCTAACGTTAGCTCAGCTTGTTTCTCTGATATCTTCAGATCCAGACGTGTAGGAAGATTTTAGAGGATGCAAATGAACCTCAAGTCTCCTCCTCTTCAAATCAAACAGACCAGCTGATTAAAACACTGAATAAAGCAGTTTCACGTAGGGCTGCTCGATTATGGCAAAAATAATAATCACGATTATTTTGGTCAATAATTGATATCACGATTATTAAAAACGATTATCCATTTACTTTGAAAACATCCATTTATTGAACAAAAAAAATGGAACAGTATGTTTTAACAGGTAACTACCCTGAACTTTAAAGTAATTCAACTGAAAAATCAATAAAAAAAAAAAAATGTAAAGAAAAATAATTGATTTTTTTTTTAAATAAAAAGAATAATCGTTTTATTTCGATTACGTTGTTTTCGTAATCGTTGCAAGCCAAAATCGCAATCGAGATTAAAATACGATTAATTGCACAGCCCTGGTTTCACGTTACAAATCTGTGTTTCTCCAAAGGCTACGAGCTAAAGGCTAACATTTGGAGATCTTGTTTCACATTTCCACGCTGAATTATCTTCGTCTCTGAAACAAAGGACTCGCTGAGTTGAACTAGTAAAAACACTTTTATGTTAAGATCCAGACGTCCATCACTAAAATCTTTCATCCGGTAAAATTAAAGAAAGAATGATCAAAGAAATCAAATGATAAACTAAACTGTCGCTGGGGCACGAGAAAGTGAATGTTACGCAGGTAAACAATGTTAGTGATGGCATAATAATGTTCAACAGTTTAAAGAATAGATAGCCCAGTGGATAGAGCCGGCGGCCCGCATGCGGCGACGTCATCCGCGCAACTGGTTCAAATCCTGGAATGGATGAACTTTTAATCATTGCCCGCTTTTCAACTTTAATACTTTAATAACTGATAAAAGGCAAAAAAAAATGCCTTTAGAAAAATAAAAAAAAACAATAATTACCTCAATAAAGATCTTTGAGTGTTTCCCCATCCCACATAATCCCCCCCTGCCATAATTACACAAGCACACCCAACCAATGTTACATTTTCCAGCACTCTCTTCTCAATAACCCAATTCACACAATTATCAATCTTTAATTGCAAATAGAACATGATATTCAGTCTTAGTGTGTGTGTATGCATCGAATATGTTTCAAGGCAAAGATACGTTAAACCCACTGCAGCCTTGCACT